TGATCAATACGTTAGTTTACGGCTGCTGATTAGTTGAGCTGCTCACGTCAGATCTTTTTTCTTGTATTATTATGACTTTATTCTCGTAATATTACGACTTCATTCTCATAATTTCCAGTAATTATTCTTAGTCTGGCCCTAACACTCCGTCGTAAAATGGTTTCTTTAATAATCAGCAGTTACAGTTTTATTGTCTCATAATTCTGCCTGATAAACTGAAAGTTTAAAGATTTTGATCCCGATAAAGAACCAAATAAACTGTATAAAACTTTCTGCAATGTGAAAAAGTAAAATTTAAATCTTTGAGTTTTAATTAGATTCAGTAAAAACATTTCAGTCGACTAATTTCTGTAATTTTTCATTTGTACTGTAGAAACAATTTACCCCGTTAAACTACTTTACTACTGTTTTTAACTTACAAAGTTTGTGTGACTTTAAATTTTTAATGTAAACTTTTCTAACTTCTCTCATTACTGTTGAGAAAACTTATAATTTATATTATAAAAAACTTAAATCTGTAGTTCAAACATTGATCACAGTGAACCTGAATTTTAATTATTTTAGTTTTTGAGAATTATAAAGTTTTTCACTTTAATGAGTTTTCTGAACAATTTAAGTTTTTCAAAAGAAGAAACTTTAAATTATAATTTTCTCAGCAGTTTGTATTTTCTGATAAATACATTGTAAAGTTTCAGTTTGTATGTATTTAATTTTTTTTTATTTGTATGTAAATATTAGAGTTTGTATAAAGAGTTTTGCCTCTTTAATGTCTTAAGTGTGAAATCCTGCTGCAGTCAAATGTTGAGGCAGATTTCGTTTAATAATCTGTGATTTTATTTTTGTCTTTTGTTTGTTTTATTGCACTGATGTAATTTATTTACAGTAAATGTTTCACTTTTGAAGTTTGAAGTAAATATTTTGATAATTTTAGTATATTTTTTGTTTACTCTTTGCTCATTGATGATGTAATAATGGAGAAAAGTTTAAAATCAAAACTTGAACTGCGTCTTATTTTCTGAGCTGATCGTGTTTTATATGTAAGGTGTTAACTACAACAACGATTATAAAGAGTATAAAGATTTTTTAATGTTAAATGTAAAAAAACAGTCAAAATTTCTGTTTTAAGAAAAACTCGAACTTTTAAGTTTTTAAATAAACAAAATAAAAACGAGCTGTGAACTGAAGATAAGCTAAGAAAATATTTTTGAAGCTAATCTTCATTAAATGTTTAAGTTATACTCTTTTAACTTTTGAAATTAACTAATAATAACCACAATTTATGCAAATCACTGTTGTTTCTAAAACTCAAAGATTTAAGTTTTCCTAAAGAAAAATAAGTTACATCAATAACAGATTATTATTAGTTTTTTTTGTTTATTTCAAAACTTAAAAGTTTGAGTTTGACTTAAGAAAAATAAAATTGACTAAATTTAGACATTAAATAATTTGCTTAAAGTGACGAATTAACGGTTTGATTAAGTATAAGTATTTGATAAATGCTACACGTTGTTTATTTGATTTAATTTAGTTAATTATGAGGTCATGTATAAATGGTTAAAATACAAACAACAACCAACCTCTGCAGTTCATCTAACGGCCACTAGAGGCTGGCTCCAGCAGTGAGTCTCCATAAGGTCTCATATTAAAATACTTTACAGCAGAAATAAACATGTTTACATCCTTTTGGTCTCTAGAGATAATTTCCCTGTTTTTAATGTTTGTGTTGTAAAAACTTCCTTAATTATACAAAATATCTGTCAATTAACGAACAAATCCATTAAAATGACACAATAATTACTTTTTTACTGTTAATGTCACTAATTTTATATAATATTAGAAATGTATTAACAGTATTAAACTGGAATTTAACAGTTTAATACTGTAAAATAAACAGTAAATATCTGTGAAAAATTATAGATTTGCAAAATGTATTTTAACTTTGAATAATCTATAGTTTTACGATTATTTACAGTTACAGATTTTTATTTTACATTATGTAAATTTACAGGATATTTTTGTAACTTCATTGATATTATTATGTATTTTTACAGTCTACAGTCTTTGTTAGAATGTTTAATGGATACATTTTATAATAATAATAATAATAATAATAATAATAATAATAATAATAATAATAATAATATGTCAGATATTTAGGTTAAAGCTGCTGAAACTCTGATTAAATAAAAATATTCTCCTGATAAAGTTTTAATATTCCGACATGGAGACAGAAAAATAATTGTTAATAATTTGTTTCGTTTTAAAACATTAAAATATCCTGAATATAAAAAAACAGTGTGTGGAAAAGGAAAGAGATTAAATTAGAGGGTCGAATATATTTTATTAAGTTACTGAACGACACAACAGGAAAAACACTGATTCTTCAAAATAAAAGCACGACTGTCAATGTTTCTCTTATTAATTGAACATTTTAAATTCATATGCAGGTTTAAAAAAGATATTAAAAACTCTGAGCAGCAGCAGTTTCTCACACAAACATTACTTATTATTATTATTATTATTGATATTTATTATAACTTATTCATCTATTCACCAAAATAAGAGCGTTTAATGTGTATGCCGTACAGCTCAGGAGAAAAGTCAAACTTTAGGTTAATGCAGAAATTAAATTACATAACAATGATCATTTTGATTAATTGTCTGTTTGGATGAATCCATTAATCATTTGTTCTGTAAAATATCAGACAAATTATAATTTCCCACAACCTGAAGTGAAATATATTTAAAACCTAATTTATATATTTTACTGTAGAAAAGCAGCAAATTCTCACATTATAGATCATATTTGGAATTTTGGCTTAAAAACTGACTGACAGGGTTAAAATATTAAATACATTTAAATATCCAGAGAAATATTGATGGTGGCAGAAATATTTGCTGATTTAATCACAAACAATCAATATTTTCTTGCAAACGGCCCCAAATAATGAAATATATAAAGATTGTGTTAGAAATCAACAAATTGTTTTATTATTTCATAAAACTTCAGTTTTACAAACATATCATTTTCTCATTGTGATCACAACAGATCAATACATCAGATAAATAGATCCATAATTAAATGTAAATATACAGTTATATTAATTTCAATTTAATCTCAATGAATGTGTTAAATTTGACTTCAGATCATTTTTATATTTCCTTATTAAATTTCTCTTGAAGAAATCATTAATTACTAATCGTATATTAATTATGATTCTGGCTCTGTGTAATATATTACAAAGGTTTTTGTTGGTATTACAAGTTAACTGCACTATCACTGTGCAGTGATTTAAAATGTTCAGTTAAAGTTTTTTAAGTAGATATCTTGTTGTCTATGTTTTATTTTGAAAGTCTAAGCTGGAAGTTTTGTTTAGTATTTTTTTTGTTTTGTTTTTGTTTCACTGATTTCTTTAATATTCATCTATTTATTCATTTCTCAGCTCCGGCCTGTGACAAAACCTTTATAATGTTATTATTAATGTGAAAAATAATACAATTTCATTATTTATTTATTTATTTTTCTGTTAATTAAATATCAGTTTAAATTGTTTTAATTACAAATATACTGCACTCCAATAACACACCACAAAGCAAGAGATTTACAATGTTCTCAATTGTTTTAAGTAGATATCCCATCGTCTTTGTTTTATGTTGAAAGTCTCCGCCGGAAGTTCTGTTTATCCTTATGGGTAAATTGACACCGTGTTCGCACCGAGGAGAGCGCAGCGGACGGGATGAGGCATTCACGGCGAGGAGGGAAAACCTGGAGGAGCGTCAGACAGCAAAGTGTCCTAAAGTCCTAAAATACCTCCAACGTTTATGTTCAACCTTTAACCGGATTAAAGTGTAATCTAACACGGCTGGAAGATAATAATCCCGGAATAATCTGCTCCAAGAAAGATCGATTTTTCTGGAACATCAACAGAAGGAATTACTCGGGAGTTTTCCTCCAAACTGCCACCGTGGTCCGCGAACATCCAGAGGAAAGTTTCTGCCACACTCGGCTCTGAAAGGTGAGTCGTTTATAAAATCCATTCCTTCTTCTGATAATAATTAATGGAAGAAAACGGTGTTTAGAAGCGGGTTCACTAACTTTGGTCCAAAGGTCGGCGGCGGAGGACGTGACGGCTCTCTGCGGTGTGTTTACATGCCAGACTCCGGCCGCGATGTGCCAGTTTCCTCCGCTCCGGGCACAGCTTCACTCCTCTTTACATTCAGACGAGTTTATGTGAAACTCGGATCAATACGTGGACAATAAAGACGTTTGTACATCAGTAGAAGCTCATCTTGAATTCGGCTTACTTAAACATCACCAAAGAGCGTTTGAATTCAGTCAGATTTTAAGTCACAACAGGGTCACAAAGCTCGCTGACCTACGCCCCCGCTGTGCGTAATTCAGTACAAGACTTCCAGTGTGAAAGGTTTAACGGTGCTTTATGCTGCTTTAACTGGGCCCGAATTGTAGACTGACTCCTACAAATTCAGGCAAAACCTGGAATCACATGTTTTGTGTGTGTCTTTTGTGGCTGATGACCACTCAAATATAGAATTAGCAACTTCTCTAAGGGAGTCTGGCATGACAGTATGTAAAAATCACAGAAAATGGCACATATAGAAGCTTATGATGAAAGAACTGTTTGCACTGTGCAAACATTTAGTCTGGTTGGTTTTTATACAATGTAAAAGGTTAAAATACTCCATTATGCACCTCTCTAACTTCACTTTAAAGTAATAACTGTGTAGTAATTCTTGTCTGTGAGCAATAAAGTGATTTATTCATCCCCACTTTGGACCACTTCAGTGAGACTGGGAGTCCCTGCGCTGTCACAGTGAAATGTACGAGTATTGTTCCTCTTGTCATGAATGCAGAGAGAATACAGAAACGCCCGAGGGAGGTGGAAGAGAACAGGGGACATGATCGGTGTAAATGGGAATGACAGCTCTGCTTACGCCCTGTGCTCCTCTGTGGCAGCCGGGTTATGTAATGGATCAAGTTGGAACCAGGAAAAAAACAGTCCAGGACTCGGCGCCGGCTGCAGGGCCAGACCAGAGTTCCTATCTGGACTCTGCAAACTCTCTCTCTCTGTTTATACAGCAACACTGGGGCTGCAGCGGTCGGGACTGTCAGCAGTGATCTGGAGCGGAGATGAAGGAGTTCTTCCTCCTATATCCGTGAGCCTGGTCACTGGGCTGGAAGAGTTTAAGTAGCTGCTCTTGAAATGAAGTCGATGGCCAGAGAGAGCATATATTCTGTCACAGAGGCCCGAGGGGAGCAGCACAGAGACGAGACCGAGAGCCAGGTGGTCTCATCCTCCTCTGCTTTAAAAACGTGAAATAAATGAATGGAGTCTGGTGTGAAATCCTGAGCGGCACACAGCGAGGAGCACTCACAGTCGGTGTTTACACAGCAGAGGAAACCCGCAAGTGAATCCCTCATGAGCTGTTTGTGTGTGAAGGTTTGCTGAGCTGTAATTAAAGCTGGCACTGTGGTCAACCCTCACCTCACCTGTGACAGGTGTGTGTCCACATTTCACTGTGTGAGCGTCACCAGAGCGAGTGAAACCCACAGTGGTGATTAAAGCTGTCAGATGTTACATTAAACTGTGAATAAACTCTGTTCTTTATGTAGTTGATTAAATAACAGCAGACAAAGTGACATTTATGGTAAGTTTCATCTCCAAAACTCACAAAGCAAAGTTTAACAGGAGAGAATCAATGAGTCCGATCAGTTAAAGATGCATTGAAACATCTGTACAAATATCTGCTTGGGACAAAAATGTCTTTTTTAACACAAAAAAGTGTAATGCTGTGGTTCTCCTGATAAATCAACTGATCTGGTTTTCTCATTTCTTTTCAGCTCTGACCACATCCCCCCCCCTCCAGTCCTCCTCCAGTCACATCAACAGGAGCTCCACCAGCCTCCAACCCCCCTGGAAATATCACCCACCCCCCCAATAAAGACTGAAAAGTCTGAGCAGGAAATTAAGGAGTGGCAGAGTTTTTCCAGAGGAAATAATATCACCAAGGATTTAACGGTTGTGTGTCGGGCTGCTTCCTGGCTGAGTGTCAGAGGGGGGGGCGGGGGGACGTCTCACCTGAGGCAGGTCCGATGTCTCCGGCGCTCAGCACGAGGCTCTGAGGAGGCGGCGGGATTTTAAGTCAAGCTGGTTGAAACGCGAGGGAGCATGGGGAAGGAGCAGGACCTGCTGCAGGCGGTGAAGAGTGGAGACCTGATGTCCACTCAGAAGCTGCTGTCCAAACTCAAGTCCAACAGGAACAGTGAGTATGCTTTTACTCTGAAATACGGCTGATATCGGGGGGTCACCAGCAGACTCCAGATGTTTAAGTGTCTATAAGTGTTTGTTGTTGGCCGTGCTGTGGCGCCGCCTGCAGATGATAGGCGGCACTGTGAGTGAATGATGGGATGTCGTTACTTCACCATTTACACTGAAGTTACAAAAACGTATCGATCGAAATTATCGATATATCGATTATTATCTGATCAGTTAGTGTTTAATTATAGGACATTTATTATAAATATTAGATATGTTTATTGATTGAAAGGTTTATGGTTCATACTGTATTTATTAGTAATTAATTTTACTCTTATTAAAGAATTGATGAGGACATATTTGGAGATATGAGGAGGTGGAGGAGATATGAGGAGGTGGAGGAGATATGAGGAGATATGAGGAGGTTGAGGAGGTGGAGGAGATATGAGGAGATATGAGGAGGTTGGAGGAGATATGAGGAGGTTGAGGAGGTTGAGGAGGTGGAGGAGATATGAGGAGATATGAGGAGGTTGAGGAGATATGAGGAGGTGGAGGATATATGAGGAGATATGAATGGGTTGAGGAGATATGAGGAGGTTGAGGAGATATGAGGAGGTTGAGGAGGTGGAGGAGATATGAGGAGATATGAGGAGGTTGAGGAGATATGAGGAGGTGGAGGATATATGCGGAGATATGAATGGGTTGAGGAGATATGAGGAGGTTGGAGGAGATATGAGGAGGTTGAGGAGATATGAGGAGGTGGAGGAGATATGAGGAGGTTGAGGAGATATGAGGAGGTATGAGGAGGTTGAGGAGATATGAGGAGATATGAGGAGGTTGAGGAGATATGAGGAGGTGGAGGAGATATGAGGAGATATGAATGGGTTGAGGAGATATGAGGAGGTTGAGGAGATATGAGGAGGTTGAGGAGATATGAGGAGGTGGAGGAGATATGAGGAGGTTGAGGAGATATGAGGAGGTGGAGGAGGTTGAGGAGATATGAGGAGATATGAGGAGGTTGAGGAGATATGAGGAGGTGGAGGAGGTTGAGGAGATATGAGGAGGTGGAGGAGGTTGAGGAGATATGAGGAGGTTGAGGAGATATGAGGAGATATGAGGAGGTGGAGGAGGTTGAGGAGATATGAGGAGGTGGAGGAGATATGAGGAGATATGAGGAGGTTGAGGAGATATGAGGAGGTTGAGGAGATATGAGGAGGTGGAGGAGATATGAGGAGGTTGAGGAGATATGAGGAGGTGGAGGAGGTTGAGGAGATATGAGGAGGTGGAGGAGATATGAGGAGATATGAGGAGGTTGAGGAGGTGTTGATTTGCTTAAACAAGCTCTTTTCTGCTGAGTCTTCGCCTCCTGCTTCTGTCACACCTCCTAAAACTCTCCGTCTGAACGAACGACGATGCCAGCGGTTCTCCGACAGCCAGCCAGCGAATGAAGCAGTTTTCTGTCTGTCTGCTGCCTCGATGAATATTTAAAACCTCCGACTCACACAGGAGTTTTACTGTTGAGGAGAAACTGAAGGTGCAGACTCTCTTTATTGCAGCTGAACCCATCTGAGGATTCCTCCATTAATCCATAAACATCAGTTCATTTAAACCTTCAGTGGAAGACGGGACGGTTTGTCCTCACTGGCTGTCACCTTACGTTCACTCCTTCATCCTCTCATTGTGCCGCTCACGTTAAATAACTCGTCTGCTGGCTCCGAGGACGAAGAGGGTTCGGGGTGGGTCGGATACAGAAAGGATCATTCGTGCTTTATTCTGAAAGCGGAAGGTCTCAGTTGGTTTGTTGGGATTTGGAGGGTCTTTTAATCTATTGTTTTTTATTTGGTACAACAGAGTATTAGGGCCAGAAATATGAGGGGGGAAGATTTAAAAAACAGAAACATTTTGAGAGAATAAAGTCAAAAGTCTGCCTGTGTTGTATCGGAGCCTCTCTGTGGTTTGTTTTTATCTGCAAGGTAAAATCACTGGTTTTGTGAATGGAGTCTGGTTGTAGCGCCTACTGTTGGAGCTATAGTGCGACACCTAGTGGCTCATTATTTACTGTTGGGACATTTAACCTACAGCGATACATCATTTTCTATAAGTTCGTCATATGTTTAAATAACCTGTGTACGAATCAGAGCTAAAGTAGCATTTAGCAGCTACACACACAGCTAGCATAGCAACATAAACACTTATATTTGAGGCTGAATGAGGCGTTCACTGCCCTCTGGGTGGAGGAATCATTTGACCTCCTCTCTCTGTGACTGATGCCGTCGCCTCCCTGCCTGACAGCCTGTTTTGTCTGCGGTGTGAGTGACCAAGAAGAGAGGCCCTCCGAGGGGCCCCGGGGCCAGCGGGAGGTCAGTCTTTATCAGGCAGATAACCTCTCACCTGTCACAGGACCGTCCACACGGCCAGGCGTCCAGCGTGATCATTGACCTCCGACCTCTGCGGGATAAACAGAGGAGGGTCTCTGATCCGTTTACCAAACATAGACAGGAAGTGACGCAACAATGACGGGACACACGAGGTCTTGTTACTTCTGCAGATTCATCCATCAACTCTTGGATCCTTAAAGTGGAAACTATTTTAAGCTCTCAGTAAGAACAGTTTCTATAACAGGAGGTAACACAGAGCAGAATACTGAGTCTCCATGTTTGTGTCTCTCGTACATTTGGTTCAGTTTCAACTCGACTTACTCTGACTGTATTAACCCGTTGAGAAGAGAGCGGGCTTCAGTTAGCCTCCGGGAGCAGTAAACTATCTGACTGTACTGTAATAAACTCATTGATGCTGGTAATACTACTGTTATAAATCAATATAAAGTCCAATGATGACATAGAGTCGACTGTTTGGGAGGTTATGCTAGCTGTTGCTAACCTCTACTCAGTATGTTTATATTGTGACGCAGTGGTTCCGACTTTAGACGCTGTAGAAGCACCGGACTGCGATCTTTACCTCGATCCCACACTTTGGACCACACATGAAAGTGGTCTGAATCAGGATGAGTCTTAGAGACTGTAATAAAAAGTGAACGTCCTATTATTGGATTGATAATAGGTATGGATGAATTATTGGAATTGGTATCAGGAGAGAAATAACTCAACGACATAAAGGAACCTCAAACAATGGAGGATAAACTGATTCTATCTGTTAAAGTCGCTCTGGAACCCACCAGTACACTGACACTATTGGACGTCCTGAGGGGTTTTATAAGTTGGAAGCTGGTATTTACGGTGACTTCGATGTGTCCTGAACGCAGCGCCATCCACCTGTCAGTAGCAGGGGAGGACCTCCGTCTCTGAGCTGTTGGGGCGTAGACGTCCCCTCGGCCAGCTGACGGGCCCCTTCCCACTCCCTCTGGGACTTCCTGCAGATCGTCACATGACCCCCACGCATTGTTCTCCGCCTCCACACGCCCAATCCATCACCTCGAATGTTACACGAGAGCCTTTTATTGTTCCGGCCGACAGCGCTTACAGAAATATCGCTGACAGACTCCCGGACTAACTCGGTTCCACATTTCGGGACGTTTCTTCTGATTTTTAAAGCTCATGTGACCCAAACTCTGTCCTCTGACATCTGGTGCTTCAGTATCTCCCCCGCGCTATCACCCAAATCACAAGGAGCTCCCAGCTGGTGCCCCGCCAGGATTAAAAGGAATTATAGCATTGTGGGGTTGGAGGGGGGGTCCGGCTCTGTTTATCAGATGCTGTGGCATCTCATTCTCACAGCGCTGCTGTTTACAGTCGGCACACTGTGACTGAGCCGCTCGATTAAATTAGGACTTAATGGACTAATCTCATAACCGCAGTGTGCTGCTGAGGCTTTCTGTGAGTCTGTGGAACTTTATACAGTTACACAAATATACGCTTCATTTTATCTTCCTGTGAAATAGTTTCTTTATTGTTTTAAAAGTCGAGACTGAAGTCAATGGCTGAACTTCCTGTTCATTTATTCCTTTAATTAATCTGCAGTATTTTAGTCATGTAATATTTGTCTATAATAACATATATGGAGAAAAAAGTTTCTAATAATTCATTATAAACACGAAAACTAAGATATTAATTTCATTATTAAAGTTAGACTTTGTTTTCGTTACCTTAGATTGAGACGTTTTTATCTACAGAGGGAGTCGGTCCTCTTCTGGTGGCGGAGTCCGCCAAACACTGGCTCCAGAAAGGGACGTTCGAATTTCTCTTGCATTTCGTGGCCACCGTAGTTTCTTCTACTTGCTTTGGAAGAGGAGGGTGAAGCAAGGAAGTTAACATTAACAAGTTAACAAGTACACTATTAATTATATAAAAGAAGATAAGAGTATATATATATATATATTAGTTGCAGAAGCTAGTTTTTCTACCATTCATCCATCCTGTTTGCTGACTGTTTTCGCGCAGTCTCAACACGTAACTTTCAGGTGTTACAGCCGACTCAATATGTGAATGTGTTTATTATTATTATTATTTATTCATCCAGATGGTAAGAAGAGTTTGGTGGATTCTGTGTTTATAACATTGAAGATTTTGAATGTAATTTTTATTTGTACTAAACCAAATACCAAGTGAAAAGTACTTAATCTGGAATATTTCTTTAATTTACAAAACTAAGTTAACTTAGAATTACCAGTAAAAGCTGCTTCATAAAGAATATTTCACATTTTGTTTTAGTTAAAATAACTAGAAAACATTAAATTAAAGATACAATTATTCTGAGAATTAAACAGTCTCAAACATAAACTTTAAAAAGGAAAGAAAATACATACCACCAAAATAAGGGAAGAAAATAGATCAAATAAAAAATAAAAAAGGATGAAATAAATGTTTATATCATTTAACCTTTATTTAGCAATGGAAGAACCATTGAGACCGAGATCTTATGTTCGATGGAGCTGATGGAGCAGACAATAAACAACAATACAATAATAATAAATATATATATATGTACAATCATAAAACAGCACAGAAGCCGACCCTCAACTGTAACATAATAAATTATTATTCATACAAACTCAATCTGAGAGGCCAAATATTACTGATAAATAAAGCTTCAACGTCAGTTTACTCACAAGAGCTTTAATTATCTTCACTGCTTTAATCTCTACATTTTTAGAACTCTTTTCTCATTTAAAGTCTATTTAAAGGGACAGAAGTTGTGGCAGTTGTAAGTCATTTAAAGCACAAACAAAAGCAAATAAAAGCCTCTGTGCCCTCTAACATCCCCATCTGTCTTTCTCTAACAACGTGTGCCACAGGAGGTTTTATTATTGACCCGGCGGACTGATGTTTGCTGCTGAAGCTCATCAGTGTCCCATTATCAGAGCCTCGTAAACCTGTCGTCTCTCTATGAAATGCCGGCCGTTGAGAACCGAAACAAAACGTGCTGGAGACTCTTCTGTCGGTGGGGGAGGACGGGGGAGGACGGGAGAGGAGGGGGATGTCTGCTGTCTCTCCACGCACTTGCTCAGACCGAATCTGCCTCATGTTTTATTCACGAGTTTGGATTCAAACTCACCGCGGGCCAATCAGCCCCCGCAGAATCCGGCCTCAGTGAGCGCTGCAGGCAGATTTACTCTGCAGCTCCTCTCACTTCCACCTCAAATGTTCTTTTCACCTCTAAGAATTTGTCTGGTTTTCTGGATCCTGGTTCGTCTTTTTCTTCTAAATATTCATCCCAGGAATCTGAAAGTTAAACTCTGACCAAGACCTTCAGAGTGGGATGCAGTTATTTATGAAGGACTAATTCTGGGAGAAAGAGACGACTCGCAAAGTGAGCAGCAAAGTAGAAGTTGTGAAAACGTGTTTAAAAAAATGCAAAATGTGTACAGCTCACTCGCTCCTCTACCGGCTTCCTGCCTCTCCTGTCCTGGTCTGTCCATCTCCTGGCCTGTCTATCTCCTGGTCTGTCCCTCTCCTGTCCCTGCTGTGTCCTCGTCTTCCCCAGAGTCAGAGTCCTGGTTGGAGCCTCTGCGAGTCGTCTTGTTACTGTATTCTGTCGTCAAATTAGTCGTAATAAACCTTTAATTAACTGCAGTTAGATGTGAAAATATTCTCTACAGCTGTTCTTCCTCTCACTCGTTCTCAACTAATTATTATTATCGATAATAATAATAATTAGTTGCAGCCATCATAGCTAGTTAATAAGATATTAGCAAAAAATTGTTGTTTCTAGTAGAATCATAAATGTAAACAAAAGTTTGTGAAGGGAAGTCAGTCATAAAAGTAATTTTGTTAATAATGTCTTGAAGCTTTCTAAAAACGTTTCTTCTCCCCAGTAAGGTCTTTATCTGACCTCCGCCTGCAGCTCCTAACATTGCAGGTTCGATAAATATTAAGTGGCATCTCAGGTCTAATTTTTATGTTTTCTGAAGCTACAGCTGTTGATAGTTGAATAATTGTTTTATAATCATAAACATTGACTAGTTTAAACTTCCTCATGTCTCAGATTTCTGTCTCTATCTGACCTCCGCAGCTGAGGACCTCAGATAAACATCAAGTCATGTCTCAGGTTGGGGAGGGAAATTGATGGATTGACTTTATTCCTTTATAGTCTTAATAGTGGGACCACACTGAGAATTGTTGGTCAGTGATTTCCTGCTCTGATTAATACAAACCCAGATCTGCAGTCGCTCTCCACTCGCTGTCACACGTCTCCGTTTTCCTGCTGACAAAAGCGGAATAACTGAGTCACTTGACGTGTCTCGTATGTAACTAGGACACATTCAGAGATTAACACTCACAGTCTGAAGAAACCCCAGAAACAGGACGTTTCCTTTACATGGCGTGCTCGAAGAAAAGGTCAAATACAGAAGCCTGTTTGTTCGGTCAATCATTCGCCTCTTACTGTGAGAGTTTGAGGAGTTTAGCGGGACTGTGCTTGCTCTACTTCCACTCTCTCATCTCTAAACATCAAACTGTAAACCGAGGGCATAATGAGGAGGGGAGTTTCCACTCTCAGACGGCACAGATTTGAGGGGAAGTGTTAAAAGCTTTCAGACCGTCGGTGAGGTTCTGCCTCTGTGTTTGAGCTGATGGTGTTTGTCTGTCAACTCTACTGTTGGTGTGTTAAATGTTTAATTGGTCCACTAAACAGACGGGATGCCTATGGGCTTTAAAGTAGGCCGGTAATACCTCTAGAGAGGGAGACAAAGCTCATGTGTGTTGGCTGACTGAGGGGCCCCTCAGGACCTCTGGGGGCCAACCCTGAGTCGGATGTTAAGGTAAAGGAGGAAGACGAAAGAGCCCTTACTTTGATTTTACTGTATTTTCCTCTGGACCTGTACTCATCATCCTCTGAACACCACTGCCCCTAAACGTTAGCACTATGGCTCGTAGCTGAGCCTAAGTGCTCTCTGAGCGGAGGGAACTAGAAATATCTTCCGTTGCCAAGTCGCATCTAAGGTTCATCCTATTTACTGGAGCAGTGAACAACGTTTCCATTGCATTAGAACATTATGGTAGGATGGTAATGAGTCTTCC